CTCGGATGCGCGTTGAGTAAGCCTGGTGCAGTTCAATTCCCCAAAGGCCATGGCTGACCCAGGACTTTTGCCGGATGGGTTGGGCTATTCACCCCCTTGCAAGATGCTTAAACCCACTCGTGTTTGCTTTTGGTTTCCCGAAGGGAGCCGGATCGGGCCTTGCGACAGTTTGCAAACAAAATACTGGATTGGCACATGTCTTACCCGCCAGCAGAGCACGGCTTGTTTTGGTCTGCCCGGATTCATTGAGCAGCGTTCCTCGTTGAGCTTATGCCAACGGTTGAAGAGTACCTCAAGAGATGCAGTCAAACTCCTTGTGTGGGTTCGGGTCTTCGGTCGCATGTCGAGTGCGGGGGGGGTGGGCACTTTGGCCCGACGAGATCGAAACATGTGGGGTGAAACAATTACCCGGACACCTTAGCAAGCAGGGACTTGAGCGTAGTCAGTATGGCATCACAGTCCGCGATAGCAGTATGTACATTGTTAATAACGAGCTGCGAGGAAGCAACCACAGTGCATTTGGCATGCTGAAGAGGCAAGAGAAGGCGCTGGCGGCGCCCACAACTGTAACCGCAAAGCGCACAGAGAGGCACAGCCAAATGCCAGGAAGTAGTCCAGGCGTGCGCGACACAGTTGTCCAATAAAAGGCGATTCTTCCAAGAGGTGCGAATAAACGCCCATCTCGTGATAGCGCCACGAAATTGAACCGCAGCAACTCTGAGGGCTTTACGAATAGCAAGGCCGTCAAGAGAAACCCAAATGTCGAGGGGGACAGACTCAAAGGGCATGAACTTCAGCAAATTTCGAATATCAGTACAAATAGAGGGACTGCAGGGGTCAAGAGCAACGTCCGCGTCAGGCGCAAATGCAAAAGGACGCCTGCGGGCGAGGACAGTCGGAGCAGGACTCTTGCAAAGAAGTCTACGACGAAGGGTAAATCTGTCAAAGAAAGGGTTGTTCCTCCAATTGGCAATGCGCAATACCACGTCGTCAAAAGACACATAGATCTTGGAGGGATGCTTGCCAGAGGCAATATATTCATCATTGATGTTGCAGAGCATACGAAAAGCAGCGGGTAGGGTGTCATTCCTAGCGAGTCTCCACCCTTGTCGCATAGCACCAATGCTGGGGAAGCCGTTGAGAACCTTAAGGAGCCTAGGCTCAGCATGCAATTGAGAACTGTCGAAGTCCTGAAAGTGCAGAAGTGCAAGCTTTTCCCACACAATCTTGAAACGCCAAGTAATCTCCTTCATGGTACTTTTAATGGCACGGGCATTGTCCATGAAAGCAACATCAGTACCACAAAGAAGGATACAGAAAAGAAGAAGTTCCATCCAGGTAGGTTCGTGTCCTGATTGGTTATCGGGTTCATATCTGGTCCAGCTCATGCAGGTGGAGATGAATTGAAAGTCACGGAGTTTGCCACCCCAAGAGATCCACTGGGTGGAATTCTCAGGGTCCAAAATGAGCTGGGGTGGGCCACAGCGATCATGCAAGAGTTGCCAACATCCTGACTGACAGCGTCCCCAACAACTTCAGAGTTGACAGGGTCCTGGTCTTGTTTCGAGAGAGGCCTTGTATCGGCTCTATCATGGATTCCAATGGAAAAAAGGGCACGACTGCGCTCCTCCCAGTCTTGTACCAATGCACAGACATCCGTTTGAATCTGCCTCCAATCCTGTGTCTGTTCAGGAACATGGTTGCTACAAACAAGGAAATGACTCATATAGGTGGGCCAGGAACTCCACTGATGCCAAGAGGTAGTCCATTGAGCTCGGAGGTAATCGCAGAAGGGGCATTGCCAAAGAACGTGACGACTAGCTGCCAACTCATGATGGGTTGCTGGCAAAAGTCTTCTGAAACCGCATGTAAGGAGTGTTAAGACCGTTACTGAGAATGCGCCGAAGGGTTTTGGCGAGGTTAGAAGAGGGGCTAACCTGCCGAAGAAGAGCGACCGTATGGTCCACTGAGGCGTCCTGCACCCCGTTCCACTTGTCAGATTTTGTGGAGGAAAGCTCGAGAAGACCTTTTTGCACCAAGCGTGCACGAAGGGTCTTCTTAAGCGCAGAAACAGGGGTGCGACCAAACTTCCACAGAGTATTACCTCCAGCAGAGGAGACTTCGCCACTCAAAGGATCGAGTGTGACGGAGAGAAACTCGAGATCCTTCTTCAGCTGTACGATAGGACCAAGACGTCCACGCACAATCTTGATACCATTCCATTTAGAGAGAGCGTGAGCAACAACCTGAGGATGTCCTTTCCAGATCCGATGCCATTGGAGAAGCGACCTCCAGGTAAGAGCATAGATAGGGTCAAGCAACTCAATGCCTTCAGTGAAGAGAATTCAAGCAAGGTAGGTACCCAACCGATTACCGTTGTAAGCTTCTCTAAAGGAGGCCCTCCATCTGCGCAGCTGATGAGCAGTAGGTCTGTGTAGCATAGCCGAATAGGCAGCTCTTGGTACCATGATGGTGGTCTGAATCATCGCAGCAGTGGCACGAGAGAGCCTGGAACGAGACAGAAGAGAGAAGGCGTGGGAAAACCCTTCGACTTTTTTGTCGAACCAGCCCTTGGAGTCAAACGGAATGCCAAGATAATCAACCTGCTCAACAACAGGAATGGCTTCACCGTTGGACCAGCGCATAGGGCGAGGAGTCTTGGTACTGCTCAGGTGAACCGTTTTGGGCACAGAATTCAGGCCTCTCTGCCCATCCCAGGATTCAGTCCACAAGATAGCGTCTTGAAGGTCCTGATGATTTCCGAGAGGGTTGAACAAGATTCGATCGTCGACATAGACGAAGGACTGTAGGGAGTTATTAACACCCTCAATACAAGAGCTGCAGCTAACACGGCAAGAGGATCACCCTGCGGCAGACCTCTGGAGGCCTGTATAGGACATGGCAGAGCTCTGACGGCGAGAAATCTCTTCATTTGCTGCAAAACTTGAACCCAGACATGAATGACAATAGTGGGAAAGCCATAATATGCCAAAGCACCGGCAGCCTGTGAATGAGTGACATGGTCAAAAAACTTCTGCGTATCAACGCACACAATATGGAACTCACCAGGAACACGAAGGACAGGATCGGCATTATGCTGAGCGGCCGCCTCCAGGAGCGTAGCAACTGTGAACCAGGCCGGGTCACCAGACCTTTGAGGAATACCACCGACGACTTCAGAAGGAACATGGTGAAAGGAAACCTCAGAGATATGCAAAAGCCAGCGATTATAAAGTCGCAGGATAGAGGGCTTCACCGTAATAGGGCGCAAATTGTTGAGATCATTCGAACCGCCCTTCTTGGGGATAACAGTAATTTTTGAGTAGTTCCAGGCAGCAGGGGTTTTGCGATGCTTCAGAGTAAGAAGAAAAAGAGAATGAAGCCGCTCAACCGCTTTGGAGGGAGCAGCAACAAGGTGTTCATTGGTCCAGCATCCATATCCAGGAGACTTGCCCTTAGGCAGCCTACGGATAATGTGAGCAAGCGAGGAAACACTCCAGGCTTTGTCGGGAAGGGGGGCATGCTCAGTGAGAGGAGGAAGAGGGACATCCTGAAACCCTGACGGGTCATAAAGCTTCTGAAAGAAGCCTCTTGCAACGTTCAAAGTGTCCTGAACAGAGTCAGTCCAACGACCGTCATGATGTATAGTAAGCTGCTCCTCATCAGAGGAAGAATAGAGCCGGGTACAGGGGCGCAAAGTTTTGGGAATAAAGAGCGGACAAATACCAGGCACACTGCGCAACCCGTCCAGGCCCCTGCCACCAAGTATAAAATCGGTAGTCCACTGTAGCCAAAGATGATCAACATTTTCCTCAGAGACAAGTGAGTTCCAGAAAGACTCAGAGGTCTCCCAAACAGAGTCATGTTTGCAAGGTTCCTCATAAAAGGGACAGCCTTGAAATCGAGAGGTAGACTGAGAGGGCTTGGTAAGAGCAGTCAACGTACTGAGAAGCAGGCGCCCATGCGACTGCATTTCCTGAGTGCAAAGCTTTCCAAACTGATCGGAGATGACAGGAGAGAGAAGAATGTCATCCAAACGCGAGGTCGCTTGATCTCTACAGAAGGTGAAGGTTTCACAAGGAGCTTCACTGAGCAACGACCTGTAGCCCCAGAAGCAAATAGACTCATAAATACAACTCTCCTGGACACTTTCATTGAAATCTCCTGCAACACAGTCAGGTAGATGATATCCAATAGCCTCCTCAACGTCGTGAAGCATTTGAACTCGCTGAGGATTACCTGGCTTTCCAGTGGGGGCATAGACCGACCAGATGGTGTGCCACCGATGAGACAGGAACACATCAACTGCGAGAAACCTACCCTTGTCAAACCAGGTCTTGAGAGAATCCGGAACCACTGCAGCCTTGGAAGGAATAGTGCTATTAACAAGAATAGCCACTCCAGGACACTCAGCAGAAGCAAGGAACTGCTTACCAGTTTTGCTGGTGGACCACTTCGGAAGAGGGCTACAGAAAATGTCGAAGCCTTTGGAGTCAAGGATGCCCGCGTAGAGGGAGGCTTTGCGCTGGTCAATCCGAACTTCTTGCATGCAAACGACGTCCAACCCAGAATCACAAAAAAAATCGAGCTTGTTCCCCAGGTTATCAAGGTTCCAAGTAGCAATAGAGGACCTGGCATTGTGGGATCGAAGATTACAAGAGGGATGATCCTCGACACCTCCGCTTAGTCAGTAATCGGCGCCATCATCGTCAAACATATTGGAGGAGCGCAGGTCCATATTCAAGTCGAATTCCGTGGCAAGCTGTTGCCTCTGCTGCAGCACCGATGTAAGAGCAGCAGCCTGTTGCTGTAGCTGACTCAACGCATCTTGCAGCTGCTCATTGGTAAGATTACCAACATCAGAAGAGGAAGCAAGTGTGTCAGTAGGGGGCTGCTTCACAGGGGTGTTTTCCCTAATGCGTTTCCGAGCGACAGTGGTCCAGTCAGCAGTGGATTCAGGCTTAGCGGTACGCTTAGGGGCAGCACTGTTTCCCACCCCT